GAAAAAGGGAATTTGGTTTTTCATGAAGAAAATCGAGCACATATTTAACCATGCGCGCCTTCCACAAAAATGACTCCCACAGCCGTTGATACAAGGGTTGTGGTTGAAGCAAATTATACCATACGTTTTCATTAATGCTCGACTGGATCATGATTTCTACATCAGACATCTTTGAACCATATCCACTTATCGAAAAGGTGGAATAATTTGCCTAAGAGTTTTTAATATAATAATAATATAAAAAAAAAATAAATGAATAAATAAATTTTTTGAAACATCGAAATAGATATGTCGATGAATAGGTAAGAAAAAATATTTAAATTAATTAATTAATAATAATAATAATAATGCTACGAATAAATAACATTATGCAAAAAGCGAATTACCCCTTTGCAAAATAGCTCCTTATTGTCATCTATTATTAGACCGTCCCAGCAAATAAGCTTACTTTCTCTCTCAGGCGCAATTTCGGCAATCTAAAGGTGCACAAAATTGTCAAAATTGTGATGCACCCTCCTTGATAATTAATCACGTGAACAAACAAACCTCCTTTTCGAAATCGTCGTATATCACAAAATTATCGAGATCGAACCTTATGTAAACATCTTCGCTTATGTCAGATACATTATCGTAATTCTATTAAAATGTAAATAAAACTGTTAGTCTTGACCAATTATGTTCTAAAACTCGACCGTTTTAAATCCTACCAGTAATTCGGAGAGGCAATCTTCTTCGGTATTAGCATTTTCTTCAGAATCCTTGGGTTCGTATGCGCTCCTAATCTTTTTTCTTGGTGGAACTTCAACATAAAGCCCACTAACCTACAATCATTTCCCAACGTTCCTTAATGCAAGCATTTTAACATTCTACAAACGATCTTAGACGAAAACGTTAAATAATTACCAGTGAACGCTTCTCGGTTTTTACCACCACTTCAACATTATCAGCTTTCGTTAATTTCGTTTCATATTGGTTTGTCGAGGCGCCGACATCATCATCATCCTCGTCGTCCGAAGAAACATAGGAGATGTTTACGCGAGGTTTCGAACAGGTTGACTCGATGCATTTAGTCAACTCCTCTGAACTACCTCGAGAAATCTCCTATCAAATTATAAAAAATAAAAAATTCTGATGGCATTAAACTCGAAATACATTGTGGGAGTTGCATGCAAAGGCGAACTCATCATTTAGCGTTCTCACATCGCGTAAAAGAACCCATTTACCTCAACGATATCCGGATTGTTAGTAACGACTTCTTCCTACACAAAGTTCATTTATGGTCAGCGGCGTGCGAAAATAAATTACAAACGAATATCTATCATTACCCCAAGCTCAGAGCTCCTCAAGGCTGTCAAAAGCAAGCATGATATAATAATTTTAGAACAG